TGCGGCGTGGCCCCGCGGTGGGGCTGGGGGCCAGCCGTGTTCACTCCTTTGCTCTTTCTGGTGGGAGCACCTGGTTCACCGGGCCAAGACCCCACGCTTCGCTGCATGTGGGCCACCAGTCAAGCACCAACTGGTGTCTCAGAACAGGTTTCAACTTCGCCTTCAATTTTTTTTTTTGAAGAGTGAATGCGCTTGCAGAAAATAAAATTATTTTGCATCCATCTCTGTTTATTCACACGTGTCATTTCAATGACCTTAACAAGCAAACCAGGCAAGATCTTAAAATAAAGGTCTTGTGACGTGGTTAGGGCTCTCCATGGCCCACCACTGTTAGAGGTCCTGAGAACCCAGGGAGACCACCAGCGTGCGCCTCCAGCTTTCCCCGTGCTGAAATCAGTGGGAGGTGGGAACACTCTGATGGCTGAAAACGCTAATGGAAAAGCAATGCCAAGGGCCAGGATGGGCTCACATTTAGCAGACCTTAGCTGAACACAAACATCAGGAGATATGGGGAGAGAGTTGTCCTTGCTGGTGGAAGCCACCACTCCGCAAGGTCTTGTAGGTGGTACATTAAATGGCATCAAGAAGTTCCTATGTTTCTATGAACAACCCCTGAGAGGAAAATCAAAGGCAAAAAAAGAGCACAGGAAGGGTGAGCCAAGTTTGCTTTTGATAGAGAGACCGTGAGAATGAAATAAATAAATAAATACATAAAATAAAGACGACTGTCTCCTCATCCCTGGGAGCCCTTGCTGTGCTTGTTTGCAATTCCAACTGTGAGCGCATGCTGTGAATGTGGTATGGTGGCATGGTACTCACTGTACCAGAAGGTCCAGATGGTCTCCGGGTGGCCCTCGCCAAAGAACCAGCACCGCCAGAAGAAGCCCTCGTGATGGAAAGCGAGGATCTCCTTCCTGACCTCTGTTGGCGTTTCAACCTGCAGAGGAATGAAAGCCCAAGCTGATACGGGGATGATCATGGTGGAAAGTGTGTGCTTTTTGCTTAGACAGCTGTGGATTTCATTTTTTGTTGGGATTTTCATTTGTTGTTGTTTGAGTTGGTTTTGGAGGGTTTGGGGAACACAGAGGCAGCTGCTGTCCTTGACTTTCTGAAATATCAGAGCCACAAAGTGTTCTGATAACAAACTATCCTGCAGACCCTCACAAAACAGTTTCTTTTTCCTCTAATATCTTTAAAACACGGATTGCTAGATCTGGATGGGTAAGCCAGGCAGCAGAGCATTCTGGGTGTATTCTGCATCTTAAATACTTTCCCTAAGTAAATTTTACTGCTTCTGTAACCAGTTGGAAGCAGGTTGATTACCAGGTAAGCGATTGTAGGGATGACCCAATGCCACAGTTCAGATGTCATTGCTACTCTGCAGGATCCAAGGTCTGGCTTAACCCCAGAAAACAGCCCAACTCCAACACTCCCACTGAGCCTCTTCCAATTGCCAGCCCAGTAGAAGTTATGCTAAACCTACGTGAGACAGAAATCACTCTTTGCCCACACCAGTCTTCTCATAGACTACGATAGGGACGTTGGCAATTATTTCTTTTTTGGTGAATCTACTTCAACCCCCAGCCCAGACCCACAGAGCACTAGGGTTGGGTCTCTCCAGGTGGAAGGATATTGTGAAGTCGAGTCATGGACTATTTACCAAAAAACATATCAAAATTATAGCCAAAATCAATTTTGCCTTTATCACATACAATTTGGTAAAGGGGACACGACTGTTATAAAATTACATTTTGTGGAGGACGGAGAAACTTCATACAGGATTGGACCCTGTGAGCTGGAGAAAGGAGACAAGACTCAGTGGAGAGGTGCTAGAAGATACTCCCCTCGCCTCGAGGTCTTTATGCATCAAGCTGTGACCGCTTCCAGAGCCCTGACCTGATTCTGCTTTTACTTTCAGGGTAAAATACTAACTATGGCAATGGTAACATGCAGCCCCCGAACTAGAATAGATCTAGGGAAGAAATTCTTTCCAGTGAGGGTGGTGAAACCCTGGCAGGGGTTGCCCAGAGAGGGGGTGGAGGCCCCATCCCTGGGAACATTCCAGGCCAGGTTGGACGGGGCGGTGAGCAACCTGATGTGGTTCAAGGTGTCCCTGCTCCTGCAGGGGGGTTGGGCTGGGTGACCTCTGGGGGTCCCTTCCCACCCAAAACATTCTGTGATTCTATGATTCATCAGCTGGATGGCTGCCGACCTGGTGCATCTACGGCACATTTAATCACCGTTTGGCAGACACTCGAGACCACCCTTATCTGTAAAGGGCCAGGATTTGCCACTTTAAGCAAGGGCAGAGAAGGTAAAAACACAGCCCGTTGTACACAACTGGTAACTGAAATAGAAATAATAGAAACAGCGTCTGAAATAGAAATAAAATAGCTCAGAGGAAAGAGTAAGAGCAGTTCCTATTTCTGCCTGGTGCTTTTGAAGTCGCTCTGCCTTAGCGCCAGGCACGTTCACGCTTGGCCAAGGGCGTATCTGAAAAGTTTGGGATGCTTATCCATGTCGTGGGGCACAACGCCTCTAGCCGCTCCGCTTTAAAAGACAACAGCACAAACAAAACTCTGCCACAATTAACATTGCCATTTCCCAAGCACACAAAAACTGAGCGGCGCTCCTCCGGCCGTGACTCTCTGCCATCTCCAGGGCTTTACCGCCCTGCTTTAAATAGTAAAGACTTCTTGCCAGGCAGTTTTTCCATCATCTTTTTTTTTTTTTCAATAGAGAAAGTCATTTGGAAACATGACTCAAGCGAACAGTGTCCTACATTTGATTACGGGATTCCGAAATGAAAGAAAATATTTCTTGCTGGCATCATGATGCTTACCCGATGTGACTCACCAGACCAGGGGGAAAAAAAAAAAAATCAAACCTAATTGGATTGAAGTAACAAAAAGTCTGCACACAACAAGGATCTCCCTGTCATTTTGTAATTGAAACGGCACATTGATCGGTGCAAAAAGAGGTTTTTGGAGAGTGGGCGGCTCGGGGAACTGGTCTGGGTGTTCTTTCATTGGGGAGTTGGACAACAGCAAGCGCAGCCAATATCAAACTTTGGAAAGTCTCTATATAGAAGTGATACCAGCAGTTAGCACTAAACCACCAAATTCTCCTTTCAAAATTACATTTCCTGCTCACCAAAATCCTGTATAAATCTTAATTTGAAAATATTTAGGTCTCTTCTGGTTAGATGGGCAGGAATTCTTGTCTGCTCTGTTCTGCATCTGACGTTCGCTTTTGTTTTCTGTCTGCGCTGTAGTCGCATCACTTTGGATGTAGATGATTGCCAAGTCCTGCACTTTCAAATATGAACTATTTTCAAATGAAGAAACTACAGAGGGAGAAATTTTTAACGGCAAATATCAGGAGATATCTTTTGTCTTTAGAGGCAAATGCTGTCAACAAGTAAAACACTTACAGTTTTGCCTTTCATTCCTTAATGTTCATATCTGCCAGATTACAGCGCTGCCATCTCAGGGTTTCCTAGGCACGCTTTACTTCAGTCTACATGCTAGATACTATGGAAATGCCGGTTTGGATTTTAAAGTCAGCTCAGGCTGACATCCTGCAATGAGCATAAATACTATCACAGATTTAAAACTTTAAAAATTTAAAAAATTATGTAAATAAGTCAGTTCTTCTTCAAAAGTCAGACACGATTTCAGACTTTACCTCCCCGGCCCGCAGAGTGCTATTCCCACGCTCGAAGACGCCGCAGCTCTCCGTAGCTAGAAGCCAGTAATCCGTCCCGAAGGCGATGAGAAAGAGCAAGACGCCAGTGCCGCCGAGGATCCCGGCTGTGAGGGCGGCTACGCCAGCCTTCATGGGGCAGCAGGTAGGGAGCAGAACTGGAAATCAGAAAAGAAGAAAACCACTGAAGTTTCCAGAGTGGCTGGACGAGGGGGACAAGAGAAGCACTATTTTTGGGCACGGATAATAATCCCCTCCTGGCTGGTGTGAGTTTCAGAGGGTGGTGGGAACAGGACTAATAAAAGCAGATGACCTGGCGTAACCTAACAGCTGTGGCATTAAGGAAGATGACAAATAGCTGTTGAGACAGAGCAGGAAGATTGCCAAATAAACACATGGCTCTTCATTTCGGGAGAGCGGTACGGAGGGCCCTTCGCCTCAGCCGGTCAGGCAGAGTCTGTAGGTCATGAGTGGTCCAGCCTGGGACACTGGAGAGTTTTTTAAGCCCTGTTTGTGCGTGAGATTAGCAGAGAGGCTGCATGGCTTGAGCAGACCCAACATCGAAGATCTTTACCATGCCATGGAGTCAGCAGTTTCCACAGCCTTTGCTGCTTTTGGAATTCCTTCTGGAATATGCATCTCCTTCAGCTCCTGCTTCCTCCGAACAAAACGCTAATGCAGCTTTCACACAGAGCAACCCCCGAGATCCAAGCAATAACATTGAGATGTTGGTGATGTCTTAAATATCTCGGTGCTCTCAGAAATGATGCAATCAACCCATGCAAGCACGAAGCACGTTTAAATCAGGCAGGTCCACGTCTAGCTAGACAAGAGCGCGGAAATGAGGTGTACGTCCCAACACATCTAGAGTGCCTTGCTACTCAGTCATAGAAAGATGCTCCCTCTCCTGCCGCAGAGGAGCAGACTATATAGCATCCATCCCCCTCCTACCACCCGAGCCTGCTGTGGAAGAAGGGTCTCATGGGGACGAGGACATTCCTGCGTGGAATTTCGTTGCCATTTGGTTCCTAATGTTTTTGTCTTCTGCTGGAGCATCTGCTGTAGATCACTGCCAGGAGCAGGACGCCAGACTGGGAAAATTATAATTTCTGTAGGGCAATAACTACATCCTCGTGACATGCCAGGAGGCCGGGGGAGCAAATCTATATCACAGTGAAAATTCAAGTTCTGATTTTCTATCCTTAGCCTAAATCACGACCCATTCTAAAAAGGGGGATGGATGAAGATGTCAACTTCCTGATCCTATGGGGTTTTGTGTTGCCAAATTAATTTCCAAATCAATTTAATAGTTAAAGTTAACTGTGAACATATGGGTATCTCAGAGAAACTGCGCACTGGTTGGGAAAACTGGAGAGGGTTGGGTAAAATTTTGACTATGGTTCTAGCCAACTGTTGAGGCATATGGACTGATGAATACGCTTGCTCTTCTTCTACAAGCAGAATAGACTTTGAATTATAATAATTTATTCTATCCTCTGTATTGTTCATTCTTAAATATTGCAGGCTGGGATTGCTTTTAAATAATGCATTAGACCTCTCATCCTCACTGTCTCAGAGGCAGAGCTGCTGTTTGTTTAACTTGACCGCAAGCGCGTGAGGCATCTAATAGGATCTGGGAAAGAGGTCCAGAGAAGTCCCTGTGCTGCCACGTGGAGGAAGGAAGGGTGGGCCAGGTTGCAGACTTACCCTCATGCAAGGTCAAAACTCAGCCACGGTCCCCATGGCCCCACTAGTTAGAGCCAGAGCAGGGCTGCCAGGGGCAAGAGTGCAAGGAGGGCAGAAGATGTTGTTGCATCTGGCATGGTGGGGTGAGCAAGGCAACAGAGAGCTGCAGGACAGGGCCAGTGGGTTGTCTCAAGGTTAGGTTTACATCTTGGTTGGTCGCTAAAATGGAAGAACACCTTCTGATGTTTGTACAACGGGATGAAAGTCCTCCCAGCAAGGCTGAATGCTGCTCGTGGTGGGTAGAAACGTCACAAGGCCTTCAGACAGGGAGCAGCGGATGTGCATCTGATGGGAGAGCTGCAGTACAAAGGTCCTTTTCAGAGAAGTGAAAATACACATCATGTCGCTGGTCTGTTTAACCGTGGCCTGCTTAACCATCCCTTTTCTTCCAAGCAAACTATTTAGTCAGCTAAGGGAGAGGAGAAATCATTCTGACATGATACAGCCTCCCACCGAAACCCTTGGTGTGCCCGCGGGGGAGCTGTGAGCATCTCCGCTCCCCCCGCGCTCTCTTGGCAGGGCTGCCTGGGAAAGGAGCCCTCCTCAGCCCCGTAATTCTGCATGAACAAGCACGCGCTGTCCCTCCCCAGCCACTTACTCGCCTTCCCACATTCAGCTATCATCTCCACTGGAAGCAATCCCCGCCACTGCGACGTGTTTGCACGTCGGTGCTTCCAGCCAACCCTCCCATCGCCTTCGCTCGTCCCGTGCCTACGTGTATTAACCCTTTCCCAGCCCCTCCCTGGGCAGCCCACTGTATTGACTCTTTTTCCATAGTTTTGAACTGCAATAACATACCCGTTCCACAGTCATTTGGTTTCTTTTCAGGCAACAGTTGCTGCAATGAGATGACTTCTTTGTATTGAACGTAAAATGGTTGAGGAAATGCAAAGTGCAATACATCTATCACCTAATTAATCCTCAATAAGTGTAATTTCAATCAGTTGCCATTTAACTACCATGTAATACTGGTTAAACCTGTCTGAAGTGACAAGGAAAATCAGCCGCCGTCTATTCCTGTGATCTATATCTCAAAGCTGAACACGACCGACGGGGGAGCTTTGGCAATGCTTGAAGGAGCTCGGTGAAGACGAGGGTTTGCACACCGCAAGTGAGGACTTTTTTTTTTTTTTTTTTTTTTGCAGATTGCACTGCAATCGCATAAAATTAAAATGCAAAGTGGGCACTTGTGTATTTTAAAAAAAGGGATTAATGCACACTTCCACATTTATGTGTGTGCTTTTTAGTCAGCTGTATTTGGCATTGCTGTATTTATGCTAATGCGTATTCGCAAGTTAGCACTGTTTGCCATTTGGAAGGTGTCCTCAGCAATTCTCAGTCCCATTGGCAGAAAAATCCCTGCGTGGCTGCGGCAGAGCAGTGCTGGTGCCCAGCCTTGGCTCCTCACGGGCTGTTATGTGCCCAGCCAAACATTTTCCAACTTTCTTAGGCTGTGGAATAGGAATTGAGTTTGCAAGGTCAGAATGTCTCTCCACGCATCAAGCTTTCCCTTCTCTTTGGCACATTCCCATGCACGTGCTCGTTGCCATTGGGATCTGAAAAATTCCTGGACACAATGGACGATGGGACCGTGCCTGGGGCACCAGCAGCTGCAGGGACAGGGACAGGGCAGCAGCTCCAGAAGCACATGGTGGGAACACCCAGGCTTGCTAGGGGCAGCTGATACACATGATTGGGCTACAGCCCCTTTACGTTTCCTTCCATTCAGCTTGATTATTTTTGTTAATTAGACATCGACTCCATTGCATCCAGCCAGCCCAGAAGGTGCTGGCTCCACACACCAGCATGTTGTGGGGGCTATCAGAGGAGCAAACTCCTCCAGCCCCACTCAGCCAAGGGTCAACCAACCTCTACACCCCTCCTTGCTTCTCTATTTCCCCAGTGTTTGGGGAAAAAATTAGATAAAATTAAAATCCTTATAATAAGGATGGGTTTTCATAAGACTAATAGAAAAAATAGTTCCTATGCTCTTCAGAAAAACCATCTTTATTAATTATAAGATTCAGGCCCATTCTGGTTTCAAAGTGTAAATTAGTTCTTTGCTTTTCTTTTTGTGCAATCGTTTTGCTCACATAGATTTTGTACAACGCAATAGACAGCCTTGTTAATAGGACATACACATACTAGAAGAAAAGAAAGGGAAAAAAAAAAAAAAAGAAATGGCAAGAAAGCCACCAATAAATCATTCCACCATCACCCCCCCCCCTTCCTCTGCAGTAAGAAAGGGCTGGGGATTTTCTGATGAACTAATCAGAAAATGTGGGGTTTAAAAACCAAATCATTTCTGAGGAAGGGCTGGGGTGAGCAAGTACCTCTGGAAACATTTTAAGAGAAGCCTTTCTTAATTTTGCATGTTTCATTTCAACATTTTCCAAGAAAAAGTTCTGTTCTGGAGGGCAAACCACCTTTTTGTATCTATCAAAGAATGAAATCAATTATTAAATATGTAAATGGATGTAAAATTTTTAATAAAATGTATTTTTTAAATTATGAACGACTCATCCATATTTTTTCATTTTATCATTTTCCTGGGCTGCTTTATGGTGTTAACATCCAACATCCAGCATTCCAGCGTGTGGAGGCCATGAAGAAAGCACAGTGGGGCCGTGAGGACGGCCCAGTACCTGCCCAGCCTGAGCTCCACAACCCTTTGTGTGTTCGCAACATATTGTAGGATAGGGGGGAGAAAACAGGAATAACAGTGCTTTTATTATACAAAAATACTGTAGAATAAATCCTGACATCGATAGCAGATCTTCAATTTCCCTAGCATAAGGGGATTTCACTCTCCATCTCTCAGCCTCACCAAGGGCTCAAGGAGCCCTGATTTTACTCTTCCAGCAGAGATGGTCTTTAATTTAGAGAAGGGAAGGAACAGCAAGCCCTGGTACCGACACTCGTCCCACTGGCCCCAGGTCCTGCAGATGCTCTCCCTGGTCTATCCCACCCCCCAGCACGAGGTCCAAGCGGCACCTCCAGAAGGTGATGCAGCTCTTGGTTGGCCTGAATGACCATTAGGACCACACTTGTTTCCACCTACAAAGCATGTCTTTGCACCTCAAACAGGCTACTTTATACATGGGCGCTGGGCAGACCAGGAGCTCCTCTGCCAGCCTCCCCAGCCTGAAGGTGTTTTTGGAGGAAAGCCGTGGAGAAGAGGGGAACAATCACCCCAAAGAGCCTCCTCTCATCACTAGCCAGCACCTGAGTTAATATAACACCCCTGGAGCACTCTAGCTACTGGCTTAGGACACCCCCCATCCTAAAAACAAACAAACAAACCAAAAAAAAAACAACCAAAAGTAACATCTTACCACACTTTCTAAGCCTATAGAAACTGGTAATGATGTTGCTCGTCCTCTACAGCT